TTTGTTTGGGGTTCTCCGCGCTTCTTGGACCTGTAAGTCCATTTCTTTCACCAGGTGGGGGAAGTTTTCTGTCATTATTTCTTCAAATAGGTTTTCAATATCTTGCTCTCTCTCATCTTCTGGCACCCCTATAATTCTGATGTTGGTACGCTTGAAGCTGTCCCAGAGGCTCCTTACACTATCCTCGCATTTTTGGATTCTTTTTTCATTTCGCTTTTCCAGTTGGGTGTTTTTTACTTCCTTGCATTTCAAATCATTGACTTGATTCTTGCGCTCCTTTGGTCTGCTGTCGGGAGTCTGTATAATATTCGTTATTTCAGTCCGTGTATGCTTAATTTCTAGTTGGTTCCCCAATATAAGATCGAGGGTCTTATTAGTTTTCTTGTAGATCTCATTAAGTTTATCGGCGGCTTCTAAACAGTTCTTGAGAGACCTTAAAAGTGTGGTTCTGAACTCTATATCTTCCATTGACAATTTTGTCCTGTTTCTTTGTCTCCGCATTTTGTTATGCTTCCTTGGTGCACCCCCTAGTGGTCTTTGTTTGAAGTCTTATAGTTAAATCTTGATTGTTGTAGCTAATTCCAGGGAGGGTTTGACCTCCAGGCCAAGTGGCTATGAGAATCAGCTGTATCAGCAGTGAGAGAACTTCTGTCCTCTAGGGAGGTGCTAATCTGGCGTTTGCCTGAGGCTATCCGGCAAATGCCTGTGTGCAGGGCTTGGGCGGGGCGGGTCGCACAGGATCAACAGGGTGGGCCAGAGAGAGCAGTTATGGTGGCTCTCAGTCCTGTCCCCAGGGGCTCTGCCTCTCTGAGTCCCAGCACCCCCTGCAAAGCTCGGAGAGAAAGCTGCACTCGCTCTGACCGAAGCCAGACAGTCCCGCTTCTCACGTTTGAGTCTGGGTCCCCAAAGACTCGCCCGGATCTGGAGCTCAGAGTCTGGGACTCCCTCCCGATTGAAAACGCCAACCGCGCCCTCCGCCGCCAGCCCGCTCCGCGCACTCCGCACCTCAGAATTTGACTTCAGCACTGCGCCTCCTCTGAGTGTCCGTATGCGTTTCTCTTTCCTCCTAGTTGTAGGACTTCCACTCAGCCAGCGTTCCTGTGGTTCTGGGTGATGTCCCTTCCGTTTTTTGGTTTCACTTTTGAAGTAGTTGTTCAAAGCAGCAAACTCCGGCGTTAACCTATGCCGCCATCTTGGTTCTCCTCTCAGCCTTAGCTTTTTAAAAAAATATTTTTTGTTGATTTCAGAGAGGAAGGGAGAGGGAAAGAGATTTAGATGAGAGAGAATCATTGATTGGCCGCCTCCAGCATGCCCCACACTGAGGATCGAGCCTGCAACCCTGGCATGTGCCTGGATTGGGAATCGAACCATGACCTCCTGGTTCATAGGTCAACACTCAACCACTGAGCCACAGCAGCCAGGCTTGCAGCCATAGCTTTTTAAAAAAATTTTTTAAATTTTTTATTGATTTCAGAGAGAAAGAGAGAGAGAAACATGAATGATGAGAGAGAATCATTGATCAGCTGCCTCCTGCATGACCCCTACTGGGGATTTAGCCTGCAACCCCAGGCACATCTTGGTCACGGTGAAAAATGCTGCAGTGAACATAGGGGTGCATATATCCCTGCAAATAAATGTTTTCAAAATTTTCAGGTAGATATCCGGAAGAGGGGTTGCTGGGTCATATGATAACTCTATTCTTAATTTTTTGGGGAACCTTCATGCTGTTTTCCATAGTGACTGTACTAGTTTACATTCCCACCAGCAGTGAATGAGGCAGTTTTTAAAAAGTTTATTTCCTAAAATTCCAGTAGGTGGCACTCTTGCAAAACCCAAAAAAGTGATTGCTTTGGCGATGGATGGTTGGTTTGTAGATTGTGACCTACTTGCAAACTCATTTGTTCTGGATAGCTAAAATTCATCCCCTCCCCAATTATCAAAGTTATACATGTGGTTTGTTAAGCATTTACAAAACGTTCAATAGAAAATACAAAATACAGGGTGTTCCCCCAAAATGTATGCACACTTTGAATAATTATAAATGCAGTGTTTATTAAAATACATTTCATTTCCAAAATTGAGCTGTCAGCTGTTAAAGTGTGTATACATTTTTTTTGGTCACACACCCTGTATTCTTCAAACTGCTAATCCCCAAAGGATAACCATTATAATAGGTTAGTAGAAACAGTATTTTCCAGACTTTTTTTCCTAGCCTGTACACAACACACGCATAAAATTTATATTAGTAAAGTTTCAGATTTTAAAATAATCGTAAGTAATGTTTGTCTTTTATTGTCTGATCCTGTAGTTTTTTTCTCTCTTTATGAATTTCTTTCTTTAAAGACAGACCCCTCACTTATGCAGTGCATTAATGACTAAGTCCAAAAGGATATTTCATGTCTGTATTGAAATAGGGCTTGTGGTCCTGTGAATGAGGGCTGGAATCTCATAAAAAGGATGCTGTGCTAATTATATTTCTCGGCAGTGAGAGTAGGGCAAAATGCCTGTAATAAGAAATATGATGCCTCCTTTGCCAACCGAAGACTGTAGAATATTTTCACCGAGATATTATCAGAATAAGACAGTGATTTTGGTTGGGGAACTTTGTGAAATCCCTGACTTTTTTTTGGGATAGTCCTCCTCCCCCATAGAATAAACGTAAGGGCAACTGATTGCTCCCAGAGTGACCAATCTAATGACCAAGCCAGAACTGAAATGCTTTTGTGACCTAATGTTGAAGGTCACACATTGTCACTTGTTCAGTAAGTCTACGCTGTTCATTGTGGGAGGGGACTGTACACAGGGGCATGAGTACCAAGAGGTGAGGATCATTGGGACCATCTTGGAAGCTACCACAAGAACTAATCAATGCACACATGGTCACTTTCTTTTTTAGAAAATATATTTTATTGATTTTTTACAGAGAGGAAGGGAGAGGGATAGAGAGTTAGAAACATCGGTGAGAGAGAAACATCGATCAGCTGCCTCTTGCCCACCTCCTACTGGGGATGTGCCCGCAACCAACGTACATGCCCTTGACCAGAATCGAACCTGGGACCCTTCAGTCCGCAGGCCGACATTCTATCCACTGAGCCAAACCGGTTAGGGCCACTTTCTTTCTTTATTTTTAGTTGAGGTGTAATTGATATACGACATTATATTAATTACAACATAATGATTCTATATTTTTATATAATATGAAATGATCACAATATGTCCAGCTAACATTCATCCATTGATCATTACTTTAAAGCCATGACAGTAGATGAGGTTACCAAGGGAGAGAGTGTCGAGAGAGGAGACAAGAGGATTGGGCCAACATTCAGAGGTCACAAAGAAGAGTCTGAGAAAAAGCTTCCAATGAGATGATGTCTCTGGGAACCCAGTGAAGAAAATACTTCCAATGGAAAGGAATGTTGAGAAACTAAGTTAATAGCTAAGAAATAACCACCAGATTAATACTTGTGCGAAATCCCTTTTTCCTTTGAATCTCACACAATTCAGATGTAATTGTAAGGAAAACAGATGTTATGCAAAACTATCTGCAGCCACTCTGAGTACTAGAAAAATGACATTATTTGTTATTTGTGGGCTATGGACCTTGTTCAGGAAAAGACCTTAATAATCTCTTTGGGTCTGAAAAGTATGGTTGTCCTAGGACACATTCTGGAAGGCGAGGGCTAGGCAGAGAGTTGAATTGCTATGTGTAACCAAACGAGATGAATGGAGTACCCAAAAACACTAGCAAATATTAAAAGCAAGTGTGACTTCAGAAAGCTGCATGCTGAAGCAGGTCATCTTAAAATGTCATGATAACTTTCCATGGGCTTTTGCACTCAGCACTGGAATTCCTCCAGGCTTGCATGACCCACCCTCTCCCTTCTGCTCCCTTTCACACTCCTCACTCATCAGTTCCCTGCGTTCTCCATACCATTTTGGTTCTGTACAGCAAATAATAACAGGACGCAAATATTGAGTACTTGCTAGGCACCAGGATCTGTTCCTAGTGTTTTATGTATCTTATCTTATTTGTATGTTATCTTATTTAATCTTTCCCACCCCACTTTAAAGATCAGGAACTCGAGGCACACAGGGATTGTTAACTAGCTGCTGTGTAGCAAGAGCCAGAATTTGAACCCAGTCTGGCTTCAGAGCCCGGGTTCTGAATCATTAAATCCTGATCTTGTTTTTTCTGGTTTTGAATCTGTCCACCCAGATTGAACCACCGTCTACTCAAGCTTAGACTTTGGCTGCCTTCTGCTCCTACCCAGCACATGACATCTGTGATTAACTTATGTGTCTGACCCAGCCCAATAGAAGCTCCAGCCTTGGTGTCACTGGTATCAGATAGGAGAAAGGACACGGCAGCAATGTTTGTTCACACCTTTGTGAACAACGTGTGTCCTCTGTTCCCATTCTCCTCCCTCTGCCTGGTTGAGTTCTAGATGAAACATTTAGCTGTCCCCTGACATATTGTCCACTTTCTCCTCCATGTGTCCTTTGAACTTCTGTTTGCCCTATCTCATTGTATCGCCACTCCTGGAAGAGCCTCTAGTCTGGCACACTGTAAGGCAGGGGTCCTCAAACTTTTTAAACAGGGGGCCAGTTCATTGTCCCTCAGACCGTTGGAGGGCCGGACTATAGTTTAAAAAAAACCTATGAACAAATTCCTATGCACATTGCACATACCTTATTTTGAAGTAAAAAAACAAAACGGGAACAGATACAATATTTGTATTTGCATGTGGCCTGCGGGCTGTAGTTTGAGGACCCCTGCTGTAAGGGTTCAGTAAGTGTTTCTTGATTGAATGAAAGAAGGTTCTAGAAAATTAACAGGACAACTGTTAATGCCCTAGAGTGGACAATAGAATTTTGCTGTGAACTTGATGGGATAATGTATAAAGGAAAGGACTTCAAAAAGGAACCTCTTAACTTAATCTCAAACCTTGACATGTTTATCCCACTGTTTATCTACTTTTCTTATTAATATTTCACAAACCTCTATGCCCTTGACATTATTACTGGAATCAAGAAGATACAGATTTCACACTATTACCATTAATCTTTTAAAATTAATTTTATTAAGACAGTACTACTTGATCAAAGCCCTATGATTAAGAACATGTTCCAGGTCACTAGAAGAAAGTTTATTAAAAGACTACTCCAGGTCCAGAAATTGATAAGGCAATTTTGGTTTGTTATGAACACCAACATGGCCACAATGACTCATAGTTGAGTATTGTTTCGGCAGAGCAGAAAGGACTCAACGTGAATAGGAATCTAAAGAAAATGAAACAAAAATAGAGCTTGACCTAATATAGCATCTTACTCTGAAAGGAATAATTTCTTCTTGTAAATTTCTTATGCCCAAGGAAGCAATCATGGGGCAGATCTTGTGAAATGTTATATTAGTGCTTCAAATTCCTGAACTTGAGATGAGACCATCTCCTCGTTCACCACGGTCTGGATAACTGTATTGATTTTTTGGGGTTTGGGAGGGTCTAAAGATAAAGAGGGAACAAAGGGGGCAAAAGTTAGTGTTTCAAATATGCACCTAAAATTGGTTGTTATTTAACCTAACCTTCTATATTAGATATTGACTGATAAGACCCATCAAATTTAAACTTTCAAAGGTGATTTTCACATTCTAAAAAATGTATTTTATTCAATGAAAAGGAAATGCGTTCAGTGTTGTCCTATGCACAAATGAAAATATGTTTAAGCATTTAAGTATAGTTATGGTGCTCATATACTTCTTTGCAGAGTAGAATTTTTTCTTCCTGGACTTACAAGACATTTTAACACATTACAGACTACTCATTTTTCTGCAGGGATGCATAAATGGTTTTTCCTTGGCTCAGTATATAAATATACTTTAAATTATTAATAATGCTGCAGTTTTTAATGATATCTTATAGTTTTAGTCATTAACAAATACGACTGTGACTTATTCTAAGGGATTCTTAGGGAATCTGCATACCTTTAGCAGAATCAGTGGACTGTGCTTGAGATTTGGAGTCAGTCACAGATGAAGTTTCATCCACACCATCACTGTAGAGAAAATGAGGGAAATGATATCACATCATACTTTCTGGAATGAGGAGAAATAAGGAGTTTTCTATTTGGACTAAAAATTGGAAATGTACCTAAAACTATAGACAAATAAGGAAGGGGTTCCAGATTTCTTGATCAAGAATAATTGAATGATAATATTATAATAACCATGTATGGTGCCAGGTGGGTACTGGAAATATTAGGGGAAATGCTTTGTAAAGTATGATTGTCTAACTACTATGCTGCACACCTGAAACCAATACAAAATAATATTGAATGTAACCAGTAACTGAAAAATAAAATTTAAATTAAAGACCTCAGTTGGCAAAAAAAAGCAATGTCCTAGTATTATAACTGAAAAAAATAAAAGAGTGATTGAATGACTCACCCTGAGAGTAATCAGTCTGTACAGTGCACCTTTTCAAACCCTGCCAAAATCTGGATCTCAAGGTGAAGCAAAGTGGCCATTAATGGAGGATCTGGTCTCAGAGTTGGTTTTTCTGATTTATAGCCCTGAGTTCTTCCCAGTGGGTCATGTTCCTATTACTTTAAGAAAGGTTGCTACAGTAGGTCTGAGGTGGTTCAGATGGCTATTATTTGAAGTATCATTCTTAGTACCTGGAGACTGGTATTAGAACTCAAGTGGGTGATTTTCTAGGGCTCCTTTGCAGTATGCCTCTGTCTCTGGTGCCATTGTTCATCCCAGCATTTTATGAATTATTATCAAGTAAGACAATGGGTGACAACACTTTGCAAAGTATAGAGTGCTTAATAAACCCAAGACTTGTTTTTACTAGATTTGTTATTTTTTGTCAACTAAAAAACCCTTTCTTCCACTGCCCCTCCCCGCTAAGCCCCATTGGGGGGTTGGTCAGCCACTGAGATTATTTCAACCTCAGTTATCTATTCACCCTTGGGCTTCGCCATCCAGCAGGTCACGGTAGGTCTCGATCTCCAGCTCCAGGCTGGCCTTGACGTTCAGCAGTCGCTGGTGGCTGGCGTCCTGGCACTCTGTGTCCCTGCGCACCTGGAGCAGTTGCTCCTCCAGGCTGCGGATGAGCTGTTGCACCTGGGACAGCTGGCCGCAGTAGTCCCCCTCGGTTCGGGCCAAGGAGTCCTCCAGAGACGTCTTCTGCATGAGGGAGAGAAATGGCACAGACATAACAATGGAGGGGGCTGGATGAACAAGGCAGGCCAATGGCCTAACGTAAGTTGGATGCAACATTTTCTTTGGAAGTCGAAACACTGCTGCGTCTCTGCGTGGGCCCTACCATGGCGAGGTGGGACTGGAGCTCCATCTCCAGGTTTTGAAAGACGCGTCTCAAGTCAGTGATCTCGCTCTTGCTGGACTGGAGCCGCTCAGTGTTGGTGCTGATCTCCTTCTTGAGCTCCCCGCTCTGCCACAGAGAAGAGGAGCCAGAGGACATGAGTGAGTGCTTTTCTGCTAATGTCTCAAACAAGGCCTTTTGTTTTCGTTAGTGGTACCTTTTCAATGAACCAGGCTTCCGCGTCCTTACGGTGCTGCTCAGCGATCGCTTCATACTGTGCCCTCATGTTGTTGAGGAGCCCGGTGAGGTCCACTCCTGGGGCAGCATTCATTTCTACACTGACCTGGGCGGGGCCGTCAGACTGGAAGCTTTGGAGCTCCTGGGGGCAGCAAGTGAGAGAGGAGTGCAGGGGGCCCATTATGATTTTGTGGCCTCTTCTTCTATAGCAAATATTACACATTGCATTTTATGACTGAGTTAGTTTAAGTCACACATATTAATACAATATATTAAAACATTTTAACCCCAAAACTAATATTTCTCTTGATTTTAAAAGAACTGAAGACATTTTCCTGGGCCCCTGAAATGACCATGGGCTCCAGGTGCTGTGCCTGCCATCCCTAACGAATGAGTTGGCCCTGCTTCTTGGGGACCAGGGCCCTACTAAGAAGGGAAGGCCTGCCGGAAACAGCACATTTGGGGTTTCAGCTACAGCTGCCAAACTGAGAGCAGCGGATGGTACCTCGGCTTCACACCGTTTCTATCACAGTCATTGATTTCCAGTAGAAACCTCCTTAGAAGCCTATTGCTAGAGTCATGACTAAGGCCCATGCTGCCTACCAGGTTCTGATAGGCATTGTGGCACAGAGTTCTGTGTGTGTATTACACAGGGTAATGCCACTTTCTCGACATACATAACATTATGTATTACTGATAGAATTTGTTTTTTAACTGTAAAAAAAATCACTAGGTCAGGATAATTAAAATTCTTACTGTCCTTACCTAATGATGAAAATGACCAAATCAGAAAGTGCCTTTTATCGGATAAACTTTAACAGGAACTACTATCAATACCACCACCAGCAGCTGGCACATAACACACACACACACACACACACACACACGAAATTAAAATGGCCATTTTAACAGGGGAATATGTGTTCTCCATATCTGATCTAACTCCAGATTTGTAAATTTGAAACTAAAGCAGCCCTTTGTGGCTGACCTCCTCGTGGTTCTTCCTCAGGTAGGCTTGCTCTCCCACTAGGCTCTCGATCTGCATCTCCAGGTCGGCTCTGGACAGGGTCAGCTCGTCCAGCACCCGGCGCAGGCCATTGATGTCGGCCTCCACGCTCTGGTGCAGGGCAAGCTCATTCTCATACCTGAAAACCAAGTGCAAAACAGTTTAGGGAATCAACACACCCATCCTTCAGAGCTATTTTGTGCATAAATCTGTGCGACTATTTTAAAATGGCAGAATTACCATGTATGATGCTGTTTTCGCTTTAATAACTGTTCTGTCCCCTTTTTATAATAGTTTAATGCTCAGTTGGAGAGAATTGAAAAAATTATGAGGTGATGCTTTTCTCTCAGCAACGAACCCCAATAGCACTGCATCCCAGGGAACAATTTCCCCCTTGGCCGGCTGCCCTGGCTATGAACAGTAGCAGCACCTCTCTAGGAGTTTCAGACAGAATCCTAAAAGCAGTTGAAAATAAAATAATAACTAGTCTTTTCTTTTTTTTTTTTTTGCTTAACTTTTACTCATGATTTAATTTAAAACATTGATACTTCTTTAGTAGCTTTTACAAGGATTTTACAGGTTCAGGATCATCACCACCGCAACATTCTGTGTGAAAATTTTGTGGAGCAAAAGGGACATTAGTATTTCTTCTTTATGTCCAGAGGGTAGAGTAGGGGGAAGGAGAGAATATAAAAATGAGGGCATGGTTAATATTTTAGGTATATGTGTCATCAGGAAAAAGATCATTTCATTTAACTCCCAGGCAGAAACATTATTAATTCATTTTGATACATGGAAGGTTGAGCTTTAGGACATCGGTGGAATTATCGTGTCACATCATGAGTCAATAGCACATGAAATTAATCCATAGCCCTACGTTTAAGCAACTTATACTTCAGGACATGTAATGTGCGAGTTGTATTGGAATCTAGTTACTTTCTAGAATGTCCAATGTAAATTTACCAGAACACTGATTGTATGGGGCAGGTGAACTGCAGAAAGTTTGAAATATTTGCTATCAATGAAGGCAGGAAAATAGGGGACAAGAAGAGATGGTGGGACATGTCAGTTTCCATTAATCTATCTTTTATTCAACTCACTTCATTCTAAAGTCGTCGGCAGCCAGTCTTGCATTGTCGGTCTGTAAGATGAGCTGGGCATTTCCAGTGCTGGCAGAGATGATCTGGCAAAACAGGGGAGGACACACTGGATAACACCCTAAAGTACCAATACTATGCAAATATTTTTTGACAGATAATTTTTAGGTCATGTTAAAATGCTATTTTATTAAGAGTTTAAGGCAATTAAATTTTATGTATATACATATATTGATTCCAGAGAGAAAGGGAGAGGAAGGGAGAGATAGAAACATCAATGATGAGAGAGAATCATTGATTGGCTGCCTCCTGCATGCCCCACACTGAGGACTGAGCCCACAACCCAGACATGTGCCCTGACTGGGAATCAAACAAACCATGACCTCCTGGTTCATATGCTGATGCTTAACCACTGAGCCATACCAGCCATGTGGCAATTAAATTTTTAAAAAAATATATATTGATGGAATATTTTAAAAGTTAAGGAATATATATTTCCTACAGAAAGTGGAAATAGAGTCCCTCTATGATAAATGGTAAAAGTAAACTAAATATCTCAGTATGAGAAATTTCTCCAAGTATAGTGGAATTGAAAAAATTATCACTGTTAAAACACTGTAATAGTAAACAACAACAACAACAACAACAAATCAACATAATTCCCAAAGCCCCTCCAAAAACCATATTGTTACCTTATTCCTGAGGTCTTCAATCAGTGGATAATATTTACTGTAATCATTCTGTAGCCCAGGATCTTCAGTCCGAGATCCTCGTGTTTCATACCACACATGAATTTTGTTTTCTAGCTCAGTATTAGCCTCTTCTAGAGCTTGAACCTTATCTAGGTAGGAAGCCAATCTGTCATTAAGATTTTGCATGGTTTCCTTTTCTGATCCGGAAAGAAGGCCTCCATCATTGCCAGAGAGAATACATAGAGAGCCCCGTCCTGGGCTTCCTCCAAATCCAATCCCCAGGCCTCCTCCATAAGCAGTGCCCAGCACTCCTGCGCAGGAACTTCCAGAGCCACCACCAAAGCCTGAACTAGAACCAAACACAGAAGCAGCAGAAAAACCTCCCCCATAGCTGCCTCCAAAGCCAAGGCCTCTTCCCCCATAGCCACTTCCAACACTGGAGGCAGACATGCCCCTGGCTCTGCCTGGTGTCCCACTCTGGGAGGACAGCTGCCTAGGCAACTCAGAGTACTGCACTAAGAGTGACATGGTGCTGGAGAGATCCACAGCCTGGGAAAGTGGCCAGAACCTGAGAGGAAGCAGTGGCAGCCAGGCACAAAGGCTACCCTTTTATAGATCATGAAATGGGTGTTGCAGTTGAAAAGTTCACTCTCTCCATTCAAAAATATAGGGTCCCCCCCTTTTTTGACCAACTCAACATCTAAATGATTAATGCATATTGAAAATTCATTGGTATGGACATAATTGAATAATTGTGCCCATTACGCATTTGATATACAGAAAAGGAAATCTGGGTGGAGTAGAGATGGTTGTCATAAGGAATTTTTCTTCTCCAAATTGCCTGTATACAATAAAAATGGGCTATCACTTGCTTATAGAGTCAGAAGGAATGTACCAAGTTCAAAGTGTGCCTCAGTGATTTGATCACACAATATGGGAGAACGATTAACTTCAGTTTTTGAACTTGGAACCAATTTTGTGTTGAAATGTATACTTTCTAACTCTAATGTATATATGTAAGTTTAAATAATTTTGCTCGATATCTATATATTGTGTTTACACATTATACCTTTATGTTTCTATACATATTATGTAATATCCTGGTCTGTAAGTTTCTCAGTGAGGGACTATGTCTAATTAATTTTTTATCCTGAGTCATCATCTAGTGTTTGACTAAACTTTATCCACGCACTCCTGGAGTTATTTCACTTGAAATAACTTAATGCTTAATATGCTTGAAAGTGTCATTTAAAATTAATTTCATTTGAAAATGACTTTGCTCTAATTTTCTGATATGCTTTGGCCAAGATTTATTCTGAATTCAATTATAAATGGGGAGCAACTTCAGAAGTTGCAAAGAAATATTTATTCTTCAGTGTTTATTTTGGTGGGGGAGTGGAGGGAGGGCTAAGTTAAATAATCATATCTCTATTCTGGAGTTTTTAGAAGTGGAAATAATTTCGTTGACAGCTGTAAAAATGTAGGAAGGTGGGAATGCATAAAACAGAAGCAATCTTGGTCTTGTTGGCAAAGTGATTACATAAGATGAGGCAGAGAAGAAAATGACTAGAATTAGGGTGAACTGTTAAAAAAGATTATATCTTCATTTTCATAGAGTTTCCGGAATACTCAAAATGGAGATAATTATTTATGTGGTCTCTGTAAATCTTTAGGTTTTTATTAAGTACAACTAGAGGCCTGGTGCACGAAATTTGTGCATGGGGGTTGGGGGAGGCGAGAGGAGGTTCCCCTCAGCCCAGCCTGCACCCTCTCCAATCTGGGACCCCTCGGGGGATGTTTGACTGCCAGTTTAGGTCTGATCACGGACTGATTGCCCCTCACTGCCCCGCCCCCCCTCCTTGCCGGCCTGATCACCTCTAACTGCCTCTGCCTGCCGGCCTGGTTGCCCCCAACTGCCCCCCCCCCCCTGCCAGTCTGGTTGCCCCATGCAGCCTGCTGTTTGGTGGTTTGGTTGCCCCTCACTGCCCCCACTGCCTGCCTGGTTGCCACACGCAGCCTGTAGCTCGGTCGTTTGGTCCCCCCTCACTAGCCCCCGAGCTGGCCGATCACCCCACGCAACCTGCGGCTCGGTCATTTGGTCGCCCCTCACTAACCCCCCAGCCAGCCGGATCATCCCATGCAGCCTGTGGCTCTGTCGTTTGGTCGCCTCTCACTGCCCCCCCCTGCCGGCCTGGTTGCTCCATGCAGCCTGTTTGGTCGTCCGTTCGGTTGTGATGGTTGCTTAGGCTTTTATATAGATAGATGTGTGCTCATCTTCTTATGTCTGGGTACTTTTCTGGTCTTTGAATTCAGAATTTGGCACCTGAGTTAAAGACAGATAAACCTTCCATTTTCTGCAATTCAGTGATCACATGGTTCAGACCATCTTTCACTTTTGTGTGAACAAAAATGTAAGGTCCTGTGAATGAGTGAAAGAATATTGGGTTACTGCTGATTTATGCTGTGCTTTTGAGATGAGGATGAACAAGGACCCCAGGGGTCACACTTGAGGATGAGTTCTATGAAATTAACCAAGAAATTACCTTTATCAAGAATCCAGGGGCCCCAGAAAGGAGATTTTGCAGCTCAAAAACAGAAGAAATTCAAGAGAAAGAGATTTATTTGCACAGACCCTCTGCTTCATGAGGTTTAATATCATTGAAAATGTGCTGTAATTTTCAGGAACATTAATAAATTGATATTAGGTGGTCTATAGCTTGTAATTAATGTTTCATGGTAAAGATGGCAGTAATGATGTTTTAAATATCCTAATGCTCATTGGATTTCACTTTCGCTGGCAATTTGCAGCTCCTTTGAGTAAAACATTTATGTTCAATTACAGAGACTGATAGATAGATGGGCCACCCCCTCCACCCCACCAGTAGAAAGCGCTAATGGTGCTTTCCTGTAGGGAGCAGACATTACAGCTCCACTTCTCAGGCCCTCAGCAGCATCTCCGTCCGGCAGGGGTTTATATACTTTCTTCCATTTCTTGGACTTCAGATGACACAACCTTGCCATCCACTACTTCTTCCACCACTGTCTTAATCTTCCTGGTTTTCTTTACATCTGAATTTAGATTGAAATATAAAATGTTAATTCAGACACATAACTCTGCTGGTTTATAATTCTCAACTTCAATTGTTTTGTATATACTTCCTTCTTTTAGACAAAAGTTCTCTTTCTTAAGTGATCTTAAGTCCATTTTAAAAATCAATGCAGAATAGGTGCCACTCTCCCCAAATTTATACATTTTCTACTCTTCCCACCCCCAAAGAGAAATATATAATATTGAATTAAGCAAATTGCACATTTTCACCCTATTTTTCATTTTCAAGATTTCAGGATGTCTCAGGGCAACAGTAGCATAGGGCCAAGAAAGTCACCCTGTCCTGGGGGTGTGACAGATTTCCCACAGGGAGGCCTCCTTTATGTGATCTGCTTGCTTTTCAGAATCCCGAGGGTAATATCAGCTCACTTGAGAACTGATCTCCCTTTACTTTTCACCAGTGGCAGCTAAGAAGTGGTAAGCTATTGAGTGAGAGTTTAGTCTTATAGGTAATGTGTGAAATTAGAACACTTACCTGCTTTCTCCTCCAGGATGCTTCTTTTAAGAAAAGAAAAAGAAACAGAAAAAAAGTGTTATTGCCATTTTGAAAATGAAGCACCGTCCTGTCATTTTGTTTCAAAATAAAGTCTCAGTGATGTGTGTTTTCATCCTGTGTTTGTATTTTCCCCCCTTTTATTATGCTTGTCTCTTCTAACTTGAGTGCCATGCTTTTTTTTTTGTTAATCCTCACCTGAGGATATTTTTCCATTGATTTTTTTAGAGAGAGTGGAAGGGGAGGGGGGCGAGAAACACAGAGAGAAAAACAACGATGTGAGAGAGACACATTGATTGGTTGCCTCCTGCACGTGGCTTGACCAGGGCTGGGGATCCAGCCTGCAACTGGGGTCGAACCCAGGACTCTTCAGTTCAAGGGCCAAACTCTATCCATTGAGCCCAACCGGCTAGGGCAGAGTGTCTTACTTTTTAACTTGAAAAATACGGAGCTTCCAAACGGACTCACTTAACACATGCTAGACGTTTTCCTAATTAAAATATTCCAACTATAATAGAAGTTGAAATCTGTGTTCTCTGTGACTTTCTTGGGTGTGGTATTTGAAGACAGTTGCTGCTGCAACACTGGTGATTCTTCAACTGGTTCCCACAGACCTCTGTGGCCGGTGGTGAAGTTCATGACCTCTCAGTGAGAATTTTAAAAAGTTATTTTGCTTTCAATTATATATTCATTATAAAAATGAACATTTGCATAATCTTTATCATCTCTATAACACAACCTCAAGTACAAAGCCTATATTTGGTATTTTGGGGGTGTGGGCACTTTTGGATATATTTTTGCTTTGTTGGTGTGTGTGTGTGTGTGTGTGTGTGTAATTGATTTTGTGATAGGCATTGCATTGATGCTGGGGAATGAGTGACAGGGCTTAACGTGTGGATATTAACATAGCACATTGTGTAGACATATCCCCGGATTCTAATAAGGTCCTTACAGATCTTCTCCTTCCAGGAGGCGCCGGTAAGTAGCGATTTCCTGCTCCAGCCTGATCTTCATGTCCAGGAGCTCATTGTACTCCTTGTTCTGGCGTTCTGCATCCGCCCGGACCTGCATCAGTTGGGCCTCTATGGAGTTCAGCAGGGCCTGGAGGGTGGCCAGCTGGCTGTGATAACGAGCTTTGGTATCTTGCAGTGTCTGCTCCAAAGATTGTTTCTACGAGCACAAGAAAAAGTGGACATTTCTTGAGGATTTGATTTAAGAGGTGGCTCAATTTTAATCTTTTGAGAGGAATTTCTGTAGCTTGTTATGGGCATCATGTATAATTCTGGCTTTATCTCCCACTCTCTTCCTCTAGGCAACCCCAGTCAGTCAGCTAGGACCATTAACTTTTCGTTTTTTTTGTGTGTGTCTGTTTGTTTTTAGCTTTGCACTCACTGTTCTCTTACTGTATATTGTACTATTGTTTTCAATATTTGCTCCCCCTCCCTGCGGTTTATGGTGCCACTTCATTTGGAGGATTAGCCTTCCTCATGCTATTAACACCAGGCTTGGTCATATGATTTTCTTTGGCTAATGAGATGCAAGTGAAACTGACAATTGCCTTTTCTGAGAAGCTTTAAGAGGGATCACATGGTCTAACTATTGCTCTTTTCTTTGGGCCACAACACTGGCATGCCCCAGCCAGAGCTGCAGCCAAACCACGATGGATGCAGTGTTGTGAGCCACTATGATTTTGGGGTTGTTACCAGAGCATAATTTGTCACATGCTGACTGATTTGCTTTGCCCAGAATGTCTTTACTCCTATTCTCTAGCTTAAAAACTAAAGTTTTCAGATCTAGTTGAAATGCCACTTTCACTATAAATCTTCCAGATCTTCTTCCTCTGCATCCTTGCAGTTCATTGCCCTTTCCCTTGATTTCTTTCTGTTTTTTAATCATAATCTGTTGTTTGGCCCGCTTCCCTGCCAGCTTTGCAAGGGGAGGGGTGGTTTCTTACTTTCAAAGTTCCTAATGCAGGCACTTAGTAAATAGACATGACACCGAGAGCTGGAAGTTAGATGTGCTTTACCATACTGAGATGGGACTTGAGGTCTATCTCCAAGTTCTGGTAGGTGCGTCTCAGCTCCTTTACTTGAACCTCCGATTGCTTTAATTCTGCAGTGTCCACTGAGACTTGTTGCTGCAGAGTTTCAGTCTAAAATTCCAAAAATGAAAAAAGTAAATAAGGGAAAAAAGACAGAAAGAAAGGAAGAAAGGAAGAAAAAAGAAAGAGAGGAAGGAAGAAAGAGTTATCTCTTTGTGGAGGACAACTTCCACACATTTGCTTATCCTTTAGAATTATGCTCTTACCTGTATCTCAAACTCTTCTTTGGCCTTCTTAAGGTTCTCTTGGGCCAAGACTTCATATTTCTGCCTCATTTCATCCATGATGGCACTGAGGTTCAGGGCTGGAGCAGCCATCAGCTCCACATTGACAGTACTGCCCAGCTGTTTGCGTAGGCTGTCCACTTCCTACGAGAATGAAAATCCTGGCTGATTATAGTCTGAAGTGTATTCTCAGAAGAGGCTGGGCAGAAAAGACTTTATACATTTTATGGCTTTTTTCACTGGGAGTGAGTAAAAAAAGGAAGAACATAATAGGCAGGGCTTTTTTATGGTCCAGATATTTCTCTAAGCTATTTATCCCTGATAGAAACCTTATGAAAAGAACTTAGGGGTAACATCATTATTGTTGTCTTCTTTACCATCACCATCACCACCCAATCTTCTTTATCCTCCTCTTTCCACCATTCCCAATACCACTTCTGAAATGTATTTATTTATTTATTTATTTTTTACCTCCTGATGCTCTTTTTTGAGGATAACCAGGTCTTTATTCAGTTCTTCAATTTGAGCCTCCAAGTCTGTTTTGCTTAGGGTTAGATCATCATAAACCTTACTCAGGCCCTGGAGGTCAGCTTCCACTGTTAGGCGCATCCCTCTTTCAGTCTCATACCTGTGAATTAATAAGCAGAGATAACTGAGTCCTTCCAAAACCATTATAGAAGAGATAATCTTAATATAACGAGATAGGTTTATATGTAGTATATGAGGATTTCAATTTCAATACATTATTGTATCCCTCTTTATACATTTCAAAAATGTTCCTGAGAGCCTAGGAATCAGATCATTTGCCCCATATATAATCTCTGTGATTTGGTTAAAAAAAAATCAATCAGAAACTACTTTAAGAAGTTTCTAGCCCAGCCTGTGTGACTCAGTGGTTGAGAATAGATCCATGAACCAGAAAGTCACAATTCGTTTCCCGGTCAGGGCACACGCCCAGATTGTGGGCTCCATCCCCAGTAGGGGATGTGTAAGAGGCAGGCAGTCAATGATTCTTTATCATCATTGATGTTTCTATCTCTCTCTTCCTCTCCCTTCCTCTCTGAAATCAATAAAAAACATTTTTAAATTCTAGGATATAGTTACAAAGAAAAAATTTGTAAATATTTACAAATATTTACAAGGAACATGGATGACTCATTTGCAGAATTACTAAGGTTGACAAATGACTCTCTTTAGATAACAGACGGACAGCTATGCAGAGTTATTGATTTCAGAGAGGAAGGGAGAGGGAGAGGAAGGAAGAGGGAGAAGAAGGGAGAGGCACATGCCCTGGTTGTGGGCTCTATCTTCAGTAGGGGGCATACAGGAGGCAGCTGATCAATTATTTTCTCTCATCATTGATGTTTCTATATCTCTTCATCTCCATTCCTATCTGAAATCAATAAAAATATATTTTAAAAATAATAAAAAATTACTTTAACTATTGTGTCAGCAAAGGGTTCTCATTGATATTAAAATAACGAAATTTACTTAATGAATATACATGATCAATTTATTTTTATTACTTTGTAAGCACATGTATCCAAAGTAAATTATCTTAAAAATTCATGCATTCCCTTCTAAAATTTTATATACTCCCATTTTTATTAAAGTAGTAATGTTTAAAAATGATAATGAAATAGAACAATCAGATGTTGACTGGAATTAATGAACTTTTACTGCTTTAATCTTCAGATCTGCTCTCATTTTTTTTTTCATTTTGATCCCCGTAGCATTAAGATGTCACCCTTTTAAAGCATAAAGGACTCGTTAGTGCAGATGTGTTGTACAAATTCAGGTGAGGAAGCCCTAGTGTGGAAGCAGTTTCTGAAGTACAACTCTGGTTACATGTAGTGTGATATGACTACAAGAGAGGGAGCAGATTGAACTGATTTAATCATCGTCCTAGTTCTTTGGTTGGTCAGACTGTATTGTAAAACACAGGAAAGCTAGAAAGCATCAAGAGTCATGTCACCCCTGGAACTTTGGGCATACACTTGTAGGCAGTGGGAGGAACATGGATGACTCATTTGCAGAATTACTAAGGTAGACAAATGACTCTCTTTAGATAACAGATGGACAGCTATGCAGAGTTATTGATTTCAGAGAGGAAGGGAGAGGGAGAGAGAGAAACATCAATGATGAGAGAATCATTGATCGGCTGCCCCTTGCAAGCCCCACACTGGGGATCGAGCCCGCAACCCAGGCATATGCCCTCGACCGGAATCGAACCTGAGATCCTTCAGTCTGCAGGCCGACACTCTATCCACTGAGCCAAACTGGATAGGGTCCTATTCAGAGTTTTAAATTGCTTTGTTATTATTCCAAAGGGCAGAATTAGGTTCAGTATGTGAGAAGGTAGATGCTGGGTTACTAAAAAAGAATGTTCTAACAAGTAGAGCTAACCAACAAGAACAACAGTTACTGGAGGCGTTCAGTTACACGCTGGGTAACGGAATCTTAAGACTGTGGGAGAGGGACTGTACCAGATAGTTTCTAACACCCTTTAAATGCCAAGATTCTGAAACTATTTAGTGGTAGCTCCTTTACCAACAATGGAAAGCTTGGTATCATAAAGGACCACTGAAAGACATTCCTTTTCAGGAACTTTTGCCATGGAATTAGAGAACCTACTTCAGTCTGAAGTCCTCAGCCGCCAGTTTAGCATTATCGATTTTCAGGACACACAGAGCATTTTGCCGTTGAGCATCTTTAATCTGGAAAACACATGAGAAAGAATGACATTTTCAACTGGGTAGGAGTTTGAATGATTGTATTTATACTCAGGTACGACTACTGTTATATCAAAGATGATGTTCATTTCAATAATTTCCACATGAAAATGGAAGGGAAGAATAATGATATGGCTATTGAACATAATAGATTTGTAAAATGCAATGCTCGTCTCACAGTTTGGTCAGCTTTCTTGTGATTTCATCAAAGGAGATTTTAATTCACCTTGAGGCATCAAACCTTATTGAGTGCCTTGCCTTTATTCCTGCTTAGAACATTTCTCTGAGCTCCTCTCACTCAGTGAACCCCTCCTCTTTTTCCTCCTCCTCCATGTCTCAGCTTAGACGTTCATTGCTTCAAGCCTTCACGATTTCCTCAAAACAGAACTGGGTGGATGAACTACTTGTGCCCTCATTGCCCTACACAGTCCCCCATGTGTGTGGGATAAATGTTGCCTTTGTCCATGCCTGTTTCCTAAGTCACCTTACATTTACCATCATATTTCCCATTGTCCAGCATGGCAACTAGCACCTAGTTAGTGTCGACTAAATATTGGCTGATGAATGGACACTTAGGTGGTGGGAGTTGTGCTATGCACGGGGGCTATCAGGATGGATAAGCCCCTGCTCTTAAGTAGCTGTCACCTATTGGATGAATTGTCTAACTCACATGGATCAGAAGTCTGCTTGTAGAAAATGTTATAATGACATATCTCTTTCAGCTTATCCCATCCTAGAAAGAGCTGCCTTCCTTCAGATACAGGGGCTGTCCAGCTAAATGGAAGAAATGGCTGTGCCCATGGGTTTGGGGCAATCCATAGTGGATTCAGAAACATGAACCATGAGACAGGTAGGGGGAATGGTTGGCTGATTTTGAATGTGTGTAGTGGGAGTCGGAGAAGAATGACCTGTTGGCAGAAAGGACCATTTAAACACCTTGGCCTCTCACATCCACATAGTTCCTGAAACACCAAAGTAACTTCCTGTAGAATCTGCATCAAATTGTACTGCTGTCTAATACAACACAAGAAAAAGAGACTTGCTGGTAAGTGGCCTTTACTCAGTCTAAAGGAACACGAATGTTAAAATAGAAAGGGAAAGAAAAGGGACACTTGTCTTGATTAGATAAGAATATTCCAGCAGTGCAAATGCTCTGAGTCATATCTGAGATCTTCAGTTAGGAGCAAAGTCTTCTTTTATGTCACACAATCGATAAAACGGAGAACTCCACCTTTCTTGGATGACATGGTTCTGATACAATTGCCATAAATTTTAATTGGGGGCAATAGAACATTTTATTACTATGGAAGTGGTGTCCGCACTGCTTGCTGTTGATGACCAGATTATTAAACAGGACATTTAAAAGTCCAGGCATCATTAAGACCCATACCCCTTCCCCTCATTTCTACCCTGAAAAACTGTATCATTGAAATCTAATGATATAGTATTCTAATACTTATATTGTACCATTTATATAAATGAAAAGAGGAAACTCTCTAAATTGACAGGGGTTTCAAGGGTTGATGGGAACTAGGTGAAAAACTAAGAGAGATTTATTATCACTTAAAAATTTAGCTTTTTCAGAAAAAAAGGCTTACTATTCTCTTAGCCCTTAGTAAACTATGACAAAAATACAGAGTATAAGATTGGAGGATAAAATTTTTATATTTTATATATAACTAGGTTTTAAAACTTTAAAAAGTATGATTCACAGTCATCCTATTATGTAGTCAGGGTAGATGATAGAATATATCATCTTTATCGATGTTGCATTTCAGCCTAATTTGCTTTACAACATCCATTTGAACCCACCTAATGTATATGCCCTCGTGATATATCATGCAGCTAAATAATGGAGCAGAAAACTCAGCATCATCCCTTACCTGAGCTCGCAGCTCTTCAATTTCTTTGTAGTATGCACTGTAGTCCCGACTGGTGCTGGGCGCGTTTGATTCATACCACTGCTTAATCTGCATCTCAAGTTGGAGGTTGGACTGCTCCAGGGACCGCACTTTTTCTAGGTAGCTTGCTAGGCGGTCATTGAGGTTTCTCATGGCCATCTTCTCATTGCCAAAAAACAGGTCGCCTTTGTTGAGATCATTCCCATAGCTCACCAAGCTTTTGGAGGTTGAGATGCGGGTGCCGTGGCCTCCAGCTCCCCCATAGACGCTAGGTGCTGCCCCCAGGAGCTGCCTGCCCCCAGTCCTATACATGTTGACCATAGAAGCCTGCGAGGAGGAACTCAGGCTTCTTTGCAAGCTTCTGCGTGTGAAATCCATTGGGGATTCTAGGAGGGAGCACCTGTAGCTTCAGGATGGGTGGAGCAGAGTCTGTCCCTCTGTGGTGAAGGAACTGCCTTTTATAGTGTTCACAGGAAAGACACTCCTCCTCTGCTGACATCTCACCTGAGGATTGACACCACAGTCCACCTTGCCTTGCTCCCCCCACCCCTTTTACAGCAATCTGTTTAATTCCTTTCTAGAAATTACCACGAGAGGCATTTCTTAGAGGCTTTTCTCGGGGGCGGTTTCTTTTTTTCAGTAGAGGTAACAAAAGGAAACAAGAAAGGGTGTTCTTTTAGCTCTTGGACCTGCCTTGGCAAATGTTTTCATCCTAATATATACATGAAGAATATTTGCAATCTCCATGAATAATTTGCGTACCTAAAAAGACAGCTGTGGCTACATAATAAGTCACAATGGTGATAAAGAACAATGCTTAAAATTTTTTTCAATTTTTTTTCTTTTAGGTGAGAATATTTAAGTTCTATTCTCAATAAAATTTAATTATACAACACAGTGTTATCTGCTATAGTCACTATGTTTTACATTTTATACTCAGACATTATTCATCTTATAGCCGAAACTTTGTCCTCTTTTACCAACCTTTCCCTGTTTCCTCCACCCCCCAGCCCCTGGCAACCACTTTTCTACTCTGTTTCTACTCTCTCCTCTCCTCCTCTTTCAGATTCCACGTATAAGTGATACCATGCAGTATTTGTCTTTCTCTGTCTGGCTTATTTACTTAGCATAATCCCCTCAAGGTCTACCATGTTGTTCCAAATAGCAGGACTTCCTGCTTTTCTATGGCCGAATGATACTCCATGTATATATATGGAATATGATAATTTGGAATATGATAATATAGAATATGCTATCCATGGAATATGATATGTATGGAACATTATATATATATGTATATATATGTATCAACCAGCACTCCCTGAGAGCTCACCAATAATGACTGGATACGTCATAAGCAGATCTTACTGCTTATTAAAAAGCTGTAAATTACTCTGAAAGTGGATGTCACAGTTATAACCTGTAGTGAAGAATTTTTTATAGACACATGTTCTGTATATGTGTATTCACAAAATTAATTTGTTTTATTGCTTAGTGGGGGAGAAGGAGGTTTGATTAAAGTCACTGGAAAGTTGTACTGTTTAAATTATACCCATTTCGCAGTGATTTAGTTTCAGCTAAGAGGTTCATACACTAAGGCTTATGATCCAGGTGTGTAGAAGCATTATTTAAATAAAGAATTAGCTTTATAACTAAAAAGGAATATAAGTGCAGGTGTTTAACATAATAGTTTTTGAAGTTCACTTTTTTAGTACAGTTCTTCCTTACTAGTATGTCTGGATCCAATTATGTTTAAGTGAGTTAAAATTTCATTAGAATGCTTAAAATCATTTTGAATATTTTGGAGAAATAACTTTGTCTGTGTGTTCTTCCACCAGTTTTTTGGGCTAATGTTTGTAGGCTTTTGAGATTTCAAATTTAAATGAAATATGGGACATTAGCACTATTTTATGGGGTTCAGTCGTCTAATCTACTCCTTTGCTGAGTAGAAAAGTTTCTGTTGTGAAGACCTCCACATGTTTACGTAAGGACAGGAAAACTTGATGGCTCCTCTATCACATTGAGTTTTATGCCTTGGTAGGTTTTAAATCTTATTATATGATCACAGGAAATCAAGGTAGCATTTCACAGCAGGTAAGTTTTCTGAATTACACTTGAGGACTAGATACAGATCCTATTGACTCTTATTCATACATAAGTCATGAATGTACAACCCCTGATATTCCAGTCTGTTGGATGACTGCAAAATATTTATTAGATCCAAACTTCCTTATGACTAATAGGAGGCACATTTTTACCTCATAGATAGACTCTGCTGAGGGTGTTAATGATTAATGTTAAGTATGGCCAGTATTTTGGAGAGCTATCATAAACACTGTAGTTTTAAGAGGACTTTGAACTTTCCCCCCTCATTATGGATAAGCTATTGCACCCAGATGTGATACATAGAGAATCTGCAGTCTGTGGGGAAGAGTTGTCTTTCCCAGACGTCTTAGTCAGGATACGTTGCTCTGATTGGTTGAGAAGGAGGGCACATAAGAACTGTGGGTGTTTGTATGCATTGTGGTTCTAGATACTTGACATAACTCAGAGTTAAGTCAGAAAAAAATCTTGGTCTCTGTGCTTTAAAAACTGGTTTACTTAGTGAAATAGTTCCAAGTGAAAGGATATGATGTCTTTGATTGGCTTCCAAATAAAATGGGAGGGAGGGAGAGGAACGGAAGAAGTTTGGCCATGAGTTATTTGTTGGAGCTGGAAAATGGATACATGGGGATTTATTATACTGTTCTAACTACTCTAGTGTTTGTTTGAAAATTTCTATAATAAGACATTTTAAGATCCTGGTGCAGTGAACTTTCATTATTGCATTTTACACAGTTAATCTGGCATATTCAAGTTTTGGTTTGTACTCATCTGGTGCATACTTCAGTGAGTTGGTAGATTTGTTGTCTCAGTGGCTCAAACATAGTAGGCACTTGATATTCACTTACCGAATGAACGACAAATGAGTGAATGAATAAAAGTGCTGATGCCCAATTTAAAGGAGAGAAGCATCTGTGGAGGGTTCTCTGTGCTCACTGACTGCTGTTTCTGCTAGTCATGTTAAGAAAGTAAGAATTGCAACCCAGGAGTTCAGTGACATGGAGTATGGCAGACTGGATACTCCTAATGCCACTATCCCAAATGTTCTTAGTGAAAACAACTAAAGTGCATTATCTCCCTCCCTCCCTCCCTCCCTCCCTCCCTCCCTCCCTCCCTCCCTCCCTCCCTCCCTCCCTCCCTCCCTTCCTTCCTTCCTTCCTTCCTTCCTTCCTTCCTTCCTTCCTTCCTTCTTCTCTCCCTCCCACCCTCCCTCCCCTATCCCTCCCTCTCTTCCTTCCATCCTTCTTCCCTATGTGTCTATCTATATTAGTATATGTATGTATGTATTTTTTAAAACCTATTGCAGACTTATTATGAAAAGAAAGACTCCTCAGAGATAAAGGAAATGAAAACAGGAACCTTAGGAGAGAAGAAAGTGAGAAAGCTGTCTTGCACCCTGTGGGATTCTGCTCAGTCATGGAGATACTAAGCTTTCCTTATGGTGTCTGTAAAGGTACAGGAGATGAGAGTCTAGGGCTTGCCTAAAGTGGGACTATTAACAGGAAATATCCACATAAACCTAGTATACTGAAGAACTATGCCTTCAGAATAAGGGTACATGATAAAGAAAGCCACCATGCAGGAGGGTCCAGTAAGAAAAATTTTCTGTCTCAACCTTGGTGCTTTGTGCAGAGGAAAAAAAAAAATCTTCCCCGAGAATTTGTAGCCACAGCTAGCCTGGCACAGTTTGTTGTCTGTATTACCCAGGTCTGTGTGTAATCTGAAAACCTTAAATGGAGAATTTAGTTTAAAGTGGTCCTTTATCAGTGATGCCCTCAGCCAACTGGCAGCAGGAAGTTCAGATCCTCTCTGAAATAATGTAACACCCAAAATCTCTTACTGGGAAGCCTGACAGACTGAATGGCCCTCCTCATCCCTGCAGTTGGTCTTGGATTATTTCACGAAAGTTTGAGATTATACCAGGGACAAGTGGGTACTTATTTTATATCAACCTGACTAAGAGAGAGCCCAACCAACTTCCTCCCAAAACAGAGGAAAGGTTTGTCCCTAAGACAAATTCTAACTTCTGTCTTTAAAATCACAGTTAAGAAACCACTGACAATTCTATATAATAAAAGCCTAATATGCAAATTGTCCCCTCGACTGGAAGTTTAACCAGGGGCGAAGCCGGCGGTAGGCGGCCAGGGAGAGGGAGGCACCCCTAGCCGGCAGCTGCTAGGGACCCTACCCGTTCACGAATTTTGTGCACTGGGCCTCTGGTTGAAAAATAACAGCTTAGCTCCTGGCTTCAAGCCATCAACAGTTCATAAATGTTAAGGTTCTGTCTCAAAACACCTGCCTACAAATGCAGATCTGACTACTAGTATTTTACCTCTCTGAGAAACTTGTGACACTTAAGTGGTCAAGTCCAATACATCGCTCTCTAAGACCCAGCCCCTGCCTACCTTTCCAGAGTCCCCTTCCCACCCTCCATGCCTCAAGCTTGACACTTCATTAACACAGGCTACTGATGCTCCTCCATTCTGTGCTTTGCACATACTGTCCTCTTCTCTTCTGGGCGTCATTTCTTCCAGGAAGCATCCCTGCCCTCCCAAATTCTCTCCTTTCCAGGATGACCAGTTGTCTTGGTTTGCCTGAGACTGAGAAGCTTTCTGGGATGTGAGACTTTCATTGTTCAAACCAGGACACGCCCAGGCCAGCCGGGATGGTTGGTCATCCTGTTCATCTCTCCTGTATGCGTCTCTTTCTTGGTATAGCATGTGCACACTCTTTGACCCTGATTCCTCTGTTGGCTGCATGGGTGTGGAGCATGAGGAATAGGATGAGATAAGGATGACTCCTGAAGTTCTGACTTGGGTGACTGGGTAGCGATGGTGGTGTCCTTTACTGAAAGGGGGGGAGGGGCACTGGGACAAGGCAGGGAGAATGTCTGGAGGGATTGTTACAAAGGGGTACATGGCATGTTTGTTCGCTGACATGCCCCATTTGTGGTGCCTGCATTACTAGATCAAATGTAGAAGGTCTATAGATGATGTTGTGTGTTCTGGTCTGGAGAGAACTGGGCTGGAGGTGTGTAATAAGATGCAGGAAAGGTTGCCTCCGCTCTTGTTGGTTGTGACATTATCCCTCATAAAGTGACCACTGTAATTCTAGTTTACCCCAGGGCTTTCAGAACTCCAGAGTCAAACCTCTGCGTGGACAGACCAGAGCTACTGGGAGAAGCATTGGCCTAGTCGCTGCCTAACGGTTCCTCTTTCTCTGAACTGCCCTGCTGCATTAGCACATAACTGAGCCTTCCATCCATGGCGACAACCAAAGATTTATGGTGCTTGAGTGAAATTTGTGCAAGATCTAGAAGATATGGACTGATTTAGCTAACGAAATGGTAATAACCAATTAGCATTGAGTTTTTTGGATTATAATTTAAGGGAAGTCATCAGTGATTTCATCTTATGATATACTTTTGTGTTATTTGCACAACCTAAATTTAGTATCTTTGAAGACAAGTAAGCAAGTGGCAATTCCTTACCATGTGTTTTTATTTTCCATGGTGCTTATTTTTCAACACGAAGAACTGTGGGCTCTCCTACCTGGAAGAGGCCGTGAAAATCAGGCAGGCCATCCTTCTCATTTTACAGACAAGACAGCAGAGGGCTTCATAAATTGAATGACTTGCCTGTAGCAACAATACAAATATAGACAGTTGAGATGAATCAACCTAATGTTTGCTCTCTAAATTGATTCCCTGTAAGTTTGCCTGACCCAGGAAAGCTGTCTTACAAACACCACCCTGATGTGTAAATAAAACTCACCAATTAAATTACTGCTTAAAAGGCTAATATAAGGTATATATTATATTCTAGTTTCCCCACATTCATATTCTCGTTTCCACTCTGGGGCTAAAGACTTACTCTTTTAATATCTTCCTTCATTTGCTCCTATAACACACGATTGAAATAGATTCTCTAAGATGGGGCAGTGATCACTGGCCTCAGAGTACGCCTAGAGCAAGGCACTGTGTGTGCACATACATCAGACCAGATGAAGAGATGCATTATTAATTCGTCTCTCAGAACATGCACGGCAGATGTGTTCTCCTTTCAGCTCGGTTGGGTGCTATGTCATTACTTTTTAATGTGTACACATTCAAGTTAAAAGAGCTATACAAAACAGAATATTGATTAAAGAGAACCCCTAGATCAGTGATTCTCAACCTTCTGGCCCTTTAAATACAGTTCCTCATGTTGTGACCCAACCATAAAATTATTTTCGTTGCTTCTTCATAACTGTAATGTTGCTACAGTTATGAATCGTAATGTAAATATCTGATATGCAGGATGGTCTTAGGCGACCCCTGTGAAAGGGTCGTTCGACTGCCAAAGGGGTTGCGACCCACAGGTTGAGAACCACTGCCCTAGATGCTTGAGAAATGAAAATAGAGGGGAACTGAGAGATTTTAGAGTTCTGTCAAAATGGATTTAACAATTTGTATATTGTTTTTACAAATTTTAACAAAGCTTCCTATAAAGATTAGCACTCTCTGAAGCAGGCAGCAGGCAAAGCACGAAATGAAGTTGCGACAACTATCTTTTAAAAGTGGGGGGGAAAAGTGGAAAAATAACCAGGCAAATGAATAAAATAATTTATTCTTCAAGTATTCGTTGAACGCTTACATTTGACAAAAAGGGTGGCCAGACGCTGCTTGCAAGGAGCTTGTGGCCTAGCAGAGGAAATACTGAGAGGGATTTTATTTTCATTTTCAAGTGGGTGGATAAGAAAGACGAAGTCCGAGATGTGAGAGCAGAGCACTGAGACCCAGGGAACCCTGAAGGTAGAGAATTAGGTGAGTTGTCAGTCTGCAGGCTCTGGGGCTCAGGTTATGTATTAATGGCAGAGTTGGGATGCCAGCAGATAAGATAATAAATCCTTAGATAATCTGCTTGGGCATCAGAGGGTCAGGAGGAAACAACCATAGGGCAAGGAGCCCCATTTAACTGATTTAGAAAAGTGAAGGCAGAAAACCAGTCATTGTAACAAGTGGCAGTAACCATTGCCGTTAGTGTAGCTTTTTGCAGTTTTGCGTTTTGTTTCTGTGATGTTTCCTGGCCTTATACTCAACTCGGGGCTTTACACCTTTCTGGGGACTTACTTGGTGTCAATGGAAACTTGGTTTATTAATATTTATCAAGAATAAATTGCTACTCCTTGGCTCTCACAACACAACTAATATTTCTGATGCCTCATGTTCCACAAAGGCCCTTTTGTTTGGTGTTTTCTGCTTTTTTAAGCCATGAAAAGGTAGAGAGCCTGGAGCAGTTTTTTATGTGTTGACACATGTGTTTAGGGATACTTAATAATTGCTGCCCAGAGTGAAATACAACCGGATTTTATGGGCAGGTCTTACATTGATGGAGTGGACAGGCTGGTAGCTACACACACTTTTTCTAAATAAATGCACCTCTGTGGAATGAGCTGTCAGAAGGACTCTAGGTTTTGGAAGCCTGGAGTAGATAAGGAGCAATATATTGGTTCTGAGGAACTGACATTAATGTTGACACATGATGTTTCTGGGCAATTTGATCTATACCAATAATTCATTTTATTTTCTACTGCAGTATTCGCTTTGTTCCTAAGTCATTTGAGGCTTTATTCAAGGTTTGCCTGGTGGCTTTTTAAAAGCATAGCATTTACTGTGATGTGTGTCCAATCATCAGTTATGTCCATTGAACATAATAAGTATAACATTCAATCGGACTTCAGGCTTTTAACCTCTAATCCAGATCCCTCACCCCCTCAGATTACACTGACATAGTGCCTTCGCATTGTCAGAATGGAAAAACTTCAACAAAATTGATGCTAGAAGCAATGTCCAGTTAGTCAAAGAGTAAAAATGGAAACCAATTTTTCTGGCCTGTCACACTCTCGTGTTAAAGCCATGATTCTTAAACTGCTTTGTCACTATGGTTATGATGATTTTGTCTCCATCATTTTGCATCTTAGCCAATATATGCAAAAGATATAATCGATATAAAATTATTAATGAGATTTTATCTTTTTGTGGACTGTTCTGGAAATGCAGTTTGCATATCCCACAGCACA